CTTTCCTTTTTTATTTTAAATCATGATTCACTGCCTCCTTCAGTCATCCCTTAGTCACATGCTACGCTTTCTCCTTTTTGTGTTCTTATTGTTTAATGTGTTTTTCTGACTTGGCCACTGTTGCTTCCTTCTCCTTCACCTCACATTAACATGTTTACATGACTCATCCATTCCTCTGTCTTGTTTCCTCAACCTCTAGTCAAACGCGGTAAAGTCAGAGTCCAGAGTTGTGACTGGCACTTCCTTTTGTTCAAAGGGTATTCTGAGACACCGCTGTACAATTTGATGACCAGTGTATGACCAACACTATGACCAATAGAAGGGCACAACACCAAACTTCACCCACTGTTCCTGTAGGTAATTAAGTGTAGTGCATCATCTGTGTTTTCAGTTCTAAGTTGCCAGCATTCTTAGTTTATATCCTCCATGGCTGTGGGGGTAGTTGTGTAAACTAAAGGAAATATTACACAGAACAACAGTTTAATATTTAATCAAAGTAAGATGAAGGAATTTTCTTCAAGCTGAAAAAAGGAACCCCCTGGACAGATTTGTGCAGCCAAACAAGTTGTGCTTTGAGTAGGTCTTCAGTAAAAACAAGGAAACGGTGGCCCCACAGGGATCAGCATTTCACACTCACCATCACTGAGTCATGAAGAAATAAGCCGGTTTTCACGAAAGCGATCAAATAACATTGTTTCTGTGTCTGGTACTGTCCTGCCCTTCAAAGTCTTGTGAAGATTGAAGAATAATTCATAGTTCCTTCCCTCCAGGAAGGTAGTGGTGCGTACAGACCCACCAGCTTCCTAACACACAGATGGAAATCCAAAATTAAGAGCTTACCACTCGTGTGTCCCTGGAGGCCATTAGCCATGACTAACTGAGGCAGCATGTTACTCTGTCATTGGCGACTTCACACATTGTGGTCTGTGTGTAAACAGAAAAAGTGCTGCAAATATTGTACGTTACATTATTGCTGTTACTCAGTTTTAGATATCATAACTTGGTAATGCAAAAGGGCTATTTTTAGCTAGCAACATGGCACAAGGTCCACCGATTTGGTCTAGACTAAAATTTCTCAATCACTGTTGGATGGATTGCCATGACATCTTATGGAGGCATATGTGGTCCCCAAAGAATGAATCCTAAAGACTTTGATGATTCCCTAGATTTTCCTGTAGTGCCACCATGAGAGTAACATATATATTTCTGAGGGAAATATCTCAACAACAGAATTTTTGTATAAAGATTCATGCTCTCCTCAGGGTAACTTGTGTTAACTCTTAATTTTACTTTAGCTCCATCATCTGGTCAAATCTTTAATTTGTCCTGTATTGCCAGTGTCATTCTCATCAGCCTGAGCTGTTGTTTAGTCCTAATTAACAAATGTGCTGTAACAAATATGCTAACATGCTAAACTATGATGGTGAACATGGTAAATATCGTATATCAGCATTTTAGCACAATTGTGAGCATATAAGCATTTAGCTCACTGCTGCTCCTGTGAGTGAAGCTTCACAGAGCTGCAGCTGTAGTATCTGGATATTTTACAGGGCTGATAGAGGAGTATAAGATGCAACAGGGGAAATCCAGCTATGGATGGGAGGCCTCCAGCAGGTGTTATCAATGCATATTCCAGCAAGATGTCAAATTGCAGATGTTTAAAACATGCTTGGCTAACCATCACAGTAAACCCAATGGGAAGTTGTCAGTCTAAGTATTCAAGAAGATGAGAGAAAGAACAGTTTGGAAAAAATCTCCTCTGACAACTGTGATTTAACATTTGTAGATTGGATGCTGAGATATGTGGCATTCAAGAAGTTTTTCTGCAAAATCAAAGCTAGAAAATGGGATAATAAACAAATGTGGTCAATATAAAATCTGTAAAAGGAGATTTGCTGATTGCTGTTCAGCAGCTCTCTGATGTCTTCTGTGTTGATGCCATTGTGACAGAAAAAAAGACTAAATATTGATTGTGATTGATTCCCTCAACTTTAAATCCTCTGCAAGCTGATTTTTATACTGCACTGACACAGTATATGGCAGCATATCATGATATGCTTTGGAAAATGGTGAACAGTGATGTAAAGCATGCACAGTTTGCAATTAATGGGCTAAACATACAGAACCACCTGAACAATCCTTTAGGTTTGGACTGGCTTTATTATACAACTGACAAGAATGATGAATATTAACATGAGGGACTCTAAAAAAGACACAGATCAGTGCCAACGCAGACCTGCCAGTTTTTCACTGAAGCAGTATAATTATAGAGCCTCTGGCAAATGATCTTTAATGATGCAATGGCTGCTAACTAAAAAAGTTCTCCTGTGTGACTCTCTGCTCTCAACTGTCTCTCCTCAGTTATTGTGTTTTGTTCAGTGGGACAGAAACAGCAGCTGCTCATAAGTATTCATTAGTCCTGCTTGTGGATTAGCTGAGACCAAATGTGAGTGTAGATTGGGCCGCCTCCTCCACAGCACAGCGCACCCTTCTGTCTCTCTGAGCACTAACAGCTGCTCAACAACACTTGACTTTTCCACCAACAGTGTTCTTGGAGGGTTGTGGCCACGTTTGTGCCTCTTCACCTAATCATTTGTCTGCCTGGTTCTTTGTTAATAATGTCTTCATCTCTCTGTGGCATTAGATAAAAGTTAGTTTCTCTGTCTCCTCCTCACTGATAACGCAGCGATGTTGCATTGTGGGTTGTTTGTTGACATTGTGGTGGTTGTTATGGTGATGGCTTCAGATTTGTGACATCAGTCATCAGATTCTCACTTGTAGCTGAGTCTAGTAAGCCCCATATTTCATCATTGTGTCATCTGGCATATGTGCACGCATACTTACTCATATGGATGACTTGGGTGTTTTTCTGCAAAGAAGAAAATAGTTGTCAGCCTCTCTTTCTCTGTTTCTGTCTGAACACATACACCATGTATTGATTGTGTTGTGACTCCCATTCAGGACAGCTGCACTGGCTGACTATCCCTGAGATGGCCTCAGTGCTCAAATGCACACCGCGTGCATTCACACACTGCATAGACCCATCTCAAGGCCATAAGTCACCTTCTCTCCACCAATTCCCTCCTCCCCAAAAACACACACACAAACCCATGTCTTCACCAATCTTGTTCCACCTTCTTCGCCTTATGTTGCGGCTGAGCTACAGCCATTCTGCTCCGCCATCCTTACATTCCCCCTCACCGCCTGCCTCAATGACTCCCCCCAGATCTTCTGTCACTACAGCTGCGTCTCAGCTGTTGGCCTGTCCCAGTCTAGTCAGAGATGAAGCCAAAACACAGAGGGTCTACAGGGAAGACAGGCTGGACTCTCAGTCTCTCCCGGCTGTCACTCCCACTTCTGACTTCCACATATCATGGTTTCTTTCCTCCCTCTTGCTTCACCACTGGATGTCTTCCTCAAACGGAATGTAAAACATGCTCAGGGGACAGTGCTATGAAAAGTGCTGATTTTCTTTATTTATGGTTCACATATTGGTTTGGTAAAATTATGCTAATTTTTTTTGAATAAAGGATTAACATAGAGTTGCTAGTGCAGTCTATAGCAGCCATGCAGTAAATCCTACCTTCATGAAGGTGCTATGTTCAGTTTTGATTTAAAAAAAAAAACAAAACATTTTTTAGAGAGGCATTGATTCAACTATACAATTAATTTGAAGGCTGTAGCTGCTGTTTTTGTTTTGTTTTTCTCTATCCCTTTTGCATTAATACCACTCGCCTGCAGTATGAATAAGTAAGGGGTTGCCAGAAACGCAATTTTGTAAATTGCAGTTTTGTAAAAGCGTCAAACACTCGGGGTGACATATACACAACAGCAGATCTCTAAATTCAGGAAAAAAATTGGTTCACCTGAAATAAATTTATATATACATGTTATATACAGTATACACTGCCTGTGACTTCATAATTCTGACTAAATGACAATGTGGGGTTGCAACTAAATACCAATGAGTAAGTAACTACTTCAAATTTGAAAAAAATGTCATGAACTCTCACAATTATAGTGGGTTTTTTCTTCATGACATGGTCCAGACAGTTGTCAAAAATGGACCCCTGAAGATTCCAAATGAAAACAAGGTGTCCAAATGATACTCTACGTCAGTAAAAATGTTTTTCCTTCTACATTTTGATATATTTCACCACTTTGAGTTAAATTCATAACAAATGTAAACTACCGCATTAATTTTAGAGACTTGTACCTAATAAACTGACAACTAAGGTGTTTTGCTGAGTTTTAAACTGTCAAGGATCTTTTAAAGTCACTCAACACATGCAAAGCATCTGTGATGTAGTTTTACAAGTAAATCTGTTTCTCTCTGCTGCTCAAGCATGGACCACGTCCCCATTAACTCTAAATAGTGTGACATCTGTCCTTCTGTTCTCTCTTACTCATCAGCTTTCATTTCTCCAAGCCTACAGCTTATTTATCCCAGACAAGCATCTCCAGCCAGGTGCTCCAAATATGCTCCATCCTGTTAAGGGAAAGTAGGTTTGAAATCAATAATTAGGAGAAATGATTGGCTTTTCAAATTCAGGAGGAGTAAAATTCTCTGGGAGTAAATGAGGCCAGCTAATTATACCGTCTTCAATTACCAAGACATTTGTACCCACTGTAAAGGCGGCAAAGTTGCACTGTTCTGCTGCCATGGAGAAAAACAGATTAGTATGTGGAAGTGGCCTTTGTTATACGGCTATGTGCTTGCTCCTCTGGGGTTTGGTCCATTGCTGAGCTCGGCGTGCAAAATGTTGCGAAACAGATGACTGTTAGATCTGCTGTGTGCTTTGGACTGAGCGGATTCGATCAAGAGAGCTGAGTTATTGATGACAATGGTAATCCTGTGAGCTCAGCAGTCTCAGGCTTGATCTGCATGTGTAATGTTATGTGGGTGTAAAAATACAATTTTTGGGAAGATGGTGGTCGGTGCTGTTTCAACAGGCACAGCCAAGAGTCCTAATGTGGATGTGTCTCTCTTTCTGTGGTAGGTATGCCTGTGGTCATCAGCGTGTCTCCGGACAGGTAACCAGGTGCGTTGCTGCTGTCATGGCCTTTCCTTCCCTGTGGCTGTTTCCCGTCACTGTGGTCACAGTCCTGGTGGTGCTGGTGTCGTCTTCACAGGAACATGAGTGGCACTTTAACCCAGGTGGGATGTCACACGTAAAACAATGAACATCTAAGTTGTTAAATTGTTTTATTTCTTGACTGTTTTGTTGTTTTTATTACTACAAATAATTACATTCAACCCTGCCCGTCCCTACACAGACACAGTAATCGTCTGTTCTACTGCTCTGACATTCGCCTCACATTCTCAGCTCAGTAAGGCTCATTCTCTGTCCGCTATCAACAGGTTATTCTGTGTCCCTGTCTGCCAGCCAGTCGTGTGTAATAAGAGAATGAGATAGCTGGCCAGTCCACCCCCTGGCTCGTCAATACCGCTAATGCACAGGCAGCTCATGAAAGTGTCAGTCAAAATGTCAGTGAGAGAGTGCAAGAGGGGTTAGTGAATGTGAGCCAACCAGTCCCAGAGGGGAGTGTTTGCAGCTCAGTCTGACTGCAGTCGCTAGACACTGAATGAGGGTAACTACAACTACTGATTGTTATTGTATAATATACTATCCATTCAGCTATTGGATAAAACTTGCACCTGCTAACCATCAGCAAACTAGCATTATCACTGTGAGCATATTAGCTCACAGTCTCACACAGCCACTAGCATGGCTGTAGACTCATGTTTAAGCAGAAGCACCAGAAATTATATTTAATTTTAGCTTCTCAAGTATGAGAATTTGCTGTTTTTCTTCACCTAAAGTGATAGTAAACTGGATACTTTAGGGCTTTGGACTGTTGGTTGGATAAAAAGTGGTTTGAAGATGTTATTTTGGGCTCAAGGAACTTGTCACTGAGAGAACTTTTTTAATTGCATTTGGCATTTTAAACTGAAAAAACCTTAGAAAAAATCAACTGGACTTAGATTTCTAGATCGAAGACGTTTCACCTCTCATCCAAGAGGCTTCATCAGTTCTGATGAACTGATGAGAGGTGAAACGTCTTCGATCTAGAAATCTAAGTCCAGTTGATTTTTTTCTAAGGTTTTTTCAGTTTGCTATGACCTGGATGACTGAGAATCTGCACAGACATTTGGCATTTTATTCCCAAGGGAGTAGTAAAAAAAGAGAATTATCTAATTAATCAATAATGGATATAATTGCTGGTTGGAGCCCTAAATCAGATTGTTGTGGATTCACCAGCTGCTTTACCATCCTTGTGTGTGCTAAATGAAACTAGGATTTGTAGCCACATTGATGGAAAGAAATAATTTGTGGTACAACACATACACCCTCAGTCACCTACACATTTTGTCTTGTAGAAAAAAATCAAGTTTGATGTGAGCACAAAGGTTTAGCGTGTAATTATAAATTATAGAGTGTGAAAGGAGAGGACACTGAGGGAAGTGAAAGCATTGCAGATGGTGGAGTGCTGACTGACAGTGTGCGGTGATGATGTAATGAAATGGGCACCTGTCTGCAGGGCGTGGATGAACTGTGTGTGTATCTGCTGCCCCCGCTGGGGTTTTTAGGGTTTGTCATCTAGCCCAGCATTCCTGTTCGCTGACTCAATGACAGAAACTGAGCTAGACACTTACGCACCCCCCACCTCTCTTCGACACCCTCAGTCTCCCCCCGCTATCACTGTCAGTACCCCTTTTCTACTTTATCGCTACCTAAACCCTCCCTTCCCTCTACCACCTTCTCATGAGTTCAGCGAGGATAGCTGGGTTGCTGGGTAATCTCTGCCCGCGACCATGCTATCTGAATCATGTGATAACGCTGGAGCAGAGTCAGCACAGATATCTGAGACCTGTCTGTGTTCTTTTATCCACCCTTTGTTTCTTTCACTTGTTTATTCACGTCCTGCAAATCCCTGAGCAGTGGTAACAGGAGCAGGGGTTGGGCAGGATTGCTGGAGCCCAGAGAAGGGGGCTTTGTGTGGGATTGAGTGCTGGTTGAAAAGGGGCAAAAAAAGAGACAGGAAAGGTGTATTCTCAGAGGAGACAGGACATAGCATCCCTCCGAGGGCCACTGTATAAAATATGAACATGAGATACAGATAGTAATGAATGACTGTCTTTGTCATTTCTGACATGTCAAAGGGGTCATAAAGCATTAAATGATGCAAAACATTGCCGTTACATTTCACATTAACTCGTTAGTACAGTCTAACCCTGCAACAAATGCATGTAAACAGGAACCATTTAGTGTGCAGTTTGGGATTATTTTGTCTGTGCGGGCTATGAAGCATGAAGTATGGAAGTTTTCCCGGAGATGATATAACTACATTTCGCTCCATGAAAATGGAAATATTAAGTCTCCCTTGGACTTGTGCTCCTTACCAGTGAGAATGTTACTTGTGTCTTTATACAGCCTGCCTCTCTCTCTCTCTCTTTCTCTCAATCTTTCCTCTGCAGCTCAGTGTCGTTACGCCCTGGGGATGGAGGATGGCACCATCCCAGACTCTGACATCACTGCCTCCAGTGCCTGGTCAGACTCCACTGAGGCCAAACATGGGAGGTAGGAAATGTGTGAGCAGAGTGGAAAATAATAAACTACATTACTGTCATTTCGGTAATCAAGGGACTTTCCCTGTTCTCATATTGTGCGGTTACTAAAACTGTAATTCTAATTCTGCCTGACGAGAATCTTAAGGAGTTAAAAAGCAGCTTTCACTGCTGGGTGTGGCCAGATGTCTGCCGTGTTGCACCTGTCACCAAACAGTAATGTTGCAGTGTCACACCCTGGCGTACACCTTTACATCATCACAGAAAAGTGAAAACTTTAATCACCGAAG